CCCTTCATCCCCGAGATAAACATGTGCTTTTTTGATATTTTACTCGTATCTATCCAAGCAATAATTGGACCAACTTTGAATCTGCTACAAAATTTTTTCAAGGAAGTTTGATTTTTTTCGTCAACTTTGGGGTTGAATTTCCCCCCTTCAACCCCGAGATAAACATGTGCTTTTTTGATATATTACTCGTATCTATCCAAGCAATAATTGGACCAACTTTGAATCTGCTACAAAATTTTTCAAGGAAGTTTGATTTTTTTCGTCAACTTTGGGGTTGAATTTCCCCCCTTCAACCCCGAGATAAACATGTGCTTTTTGATATATTACTCGTATCTATCCAAGCAATAATTGGACCAACTTTGAATCTGCTACAAAATTTTTCAAGGAAGTTTGATTTTTTTCGTCAACTTTGGGGTTGAATTTCCCCCTTCATCCCCGAGATAAACATGTGCTTTTTTGATATATTACTCGTATCTATCCAAGCAATAATTGGACCAACTTTGAATCTGCTACAAAATTTTTCAAGGAAGTTTGGTTTTTTCGTCAAATTTGGGGTTGAATTTCCCCCCTTCAACCCCGAGATAAACATGTGCTTTTTTGATATATTACTCGTATCTATCCAAGCAATATTGACCAACTTTGAATCTGCTACAAAATTTTTCAAGGAAGTTTGGTTTTTTCGTCAAATTTGGGGTTGATTTCCCCCCTTCAACCCCGAGATAAACATGTGCTTTTTTGATATATTACTCGTATCTATCAAGCAATAATTGGACCAACTTTGAATCTGCTACAAAATTTTTCAAGGAAGTTTGATTTTTTTCGTCAACTTTGGGGTTGAATTTCCCCCCTTCAACCCCGAGATAAACATGTGCTTTTTTGATATATTACTCGTATCTATCCAAGCAATAATTGGACCAACTTTGAATCTGCTACAAAATTTTTCAAGGAAGTTTGATTTTTTTCGTCAACTTTGGGGTTGAATTTCCCCCCTTCATCCCCGAGATAAACATGTGCTTTTTTGATATTTTACTCGTATCTATCCAAGCAATAATTGGACCAACTTTGAATCTGCTACAAAATTTTTCAAGGAAGTTTGATTTTTTTCGTCAACTTTGGGGTTGAATTTCCCCCCTTCAACCCCGAGATAAACATGTGCTTTTTTGATATATTACTCGTATCTATCCAAGCAATATTGGACCAACTTTGAATCTGCTACAAAATTTTTCAAGGAAGTTTGATTTTTTTCGTCAACTTTGGGTTGAATTTCCCCCCTTCATCCCCGAGATAAACATGTGCTTTTTTGATATTTTACTCGTATCTATCCAAGCAATAATTGGACCAACTTTGAATCTGCTACAAAATTTTTCAAGGAAGTTTGGTTTTTTCGTCAAATTTGGGGTTGAATTTCCCCCCTTCAACCCCGAGATAAACATGTGCTTTTTTGATATATTACTCGTATCTATCCAAGCAATAATTGGACCAACTTTGAATCTGCTACAAAATTTTTCAAGGAAGTTTGATTTTTTTCGTCAACTTTGGGGTTGAATTTCCCCCCTTCAACCCCGAGATAAACATGTGCTTTTTTGATATATTACTCGTATCTATCCAAGCAATAATTGGACCAACTTTGAATCTGCTACAAAATTTTTCAAGGAAGTTTGATTTTTTTCGTCAACTTTGGGTTGAATTTCCCCCCTTCATCCCCGAGATAAACATGTGCTTTTTTGATATTTTACTCGTATCTATCCAAGCAATAATTGGACCAACTTTGAATCTGCTACAAAATTTTTCAAGGAAGTTTGATTTTTTTCGTCAACTTTGGGGTTGAATTTCCCCCCTTCAACCCCGAGATAAACATGTGCTTTTTTGATATATTACTCGTATCTATCCAAGCAATAATTGGACCAACTTTGAATCTGCTACAAAAATTTTTCAAGGAAGTTTGATTTTTTTTCGTCAACTTTGGGGTTGAATTTCCCCCCTTCATCCCCGAGATAAACATGTGCTTTTTTGATATTTTACTCGTATCTATCCAAGCAATAATTGGAGCAACTTTGAATCTGCTACAAAATTTTTCAAGGAAGTTTGGTTTTTTCGTCAAATTTGGGGTTGAATTTCCCCCCTTCAACCCCGAGATAAACATGTGCTTTTTTGATATTTTACTCGTATCTATCCAAGCAATAATTGGGACCAACTTTGAATCTGCTACAAAATTTTTCAAGGAAGTTTGGTTTTTTCGTCAAATTTGGGGTTGAATTTCCCCCTTCAACCCCGAGATAAACATGTGCTTTTTTGATATATTACTCGTATCTATCCAAGCAATAATTGGACCAACTTTGAATCTGCTACAAAATTTTTCAAGGAAGTTTGGTTTTTTCGTCAAATTTGGGGTGAATTTCCCCCCTTCAACCCCGAGATAAACATGTGCTTTTTTGATATATTACTCGTATCTATCCAAGCAATAATTGGACCAACTTTGAATCTGCTACAAAATTTTTCAAGGAAGTTTGGTTTTTTTCGTCAAATTTGGGGTTGAATTTCCCCCCTTCAACCCCGAGATAAACATGTGCTTTTTGATATATTACTCGTATCTATCCAAGCAATAATTGGACCAACTTTGAATCTGCTACAAAATTTTTCAAGGAAGTTTGATTTTTTTCGTCAACTTTGGGGTTGAATTTCCCCCCTTCAACCCCGAGATAAACATGTGCTTTTTTGATATATTACTCGTATCTATCCAAGCAATAATTGGACCAACTTTGAATCTGCTACAAAATTTTTCAAGGAAGTTTGATTTTTTTCGTCAACTTTGGGGTTGAATTTCCCCCCTTCATCCCCGAGATAAACATGTGCTTTTTTGATATTTTACTCGTATCTATCCAAGCAATAATTGGACCAACTTTGAATCTGCTACAAAATTTTTCAAGGAAGTTTGATTTTTTTCGTCAACTTTGGGGTTGAATTTCCCCCTTCAACCCCGAGATAAACATGTGCTTTTTTGATATATTACTCGTATCTATCCAAGCAATAATTGGACCAACTTTGAATCTGCTACAAAATTTTCAAGGAAGTTTGATTTTTTTCGTCAACTTTGGGGTTGAATTTCCCCCCTTCATCCCCGAGATAAACATGTGCTTTTTTGATATTTTACTCGTATCTATCCAGCAATAATTGGACCAACTTTGAATCTGCTACAAAATTTTTCAAGGAAGTTTGGTTTTTTTCGTCAAAATTTGGGTTGAATTTCCCCCCTTCAACCCCGAGATAAACATGTGCTTTTTTGATATTTTACTCGTATCTATCCAAGCAATAATTGGACCAACTTTGAATCTGCTACAAAATTTTTCAAGGAAGTTTGATTTTTTTCGTCAACTTTGGGGTTGAATTTCCCCCCTTCAACCCCGAGATAAACATGTGCTTTTTTGATATTTTACTCGTATCTATCCAAGCAATAATTGGACCAACTTTGAATCTGCTACAAAATTTTTCAAGGAAGTTTGGTTTTTTCGTCAAATTTGGGGTTGAATTTCCCCCCTTCAACCCCGAGATAAACATGTGCTTTTTTGATATGTCCCTCGTATCTGTTCAAGAAATATTTCCACCAACTTTGGTGGTGCTACAAAATTTTCGATATCTGATTTCATTTACATTTTTGGGGCGGAATCTACCCCCTTCAACCCCTCCCTGGACATATGATTTTTCAGTATGTGACGTACATCACCCTCAGTATTATTTCCACCAAGTTTGATGATGTTACAGAATCTTTTAGAATAGATTTTTTGATTCATTATATTTGTGGCACTACTTATTTGGTCGACTGTAAAAACATGATTTTCATTTCTGAATCTGTTGCTAACTTCAACGACGAAAAACTAGGTATATGATGCAAGGATAAAAACGAGGTTTCTAAAGGCAATCTTGGAAATCAACAATGACAACGACAATCTGACAACGTACTTTTTTCCAGTACCTATATTTTTGCTAGTCGTATGGACTACACTCAAGGAGTGCTTATCGGCCTCGTTTTTGGTAATCGCTGCCCATATTGGTTTTCATCCATTACCGACGTCATAACTAAGTCGTGAGCTGTTTAAACAGCCTACGTCAAGGCAAGAAACACCATGCTGCTTAGAGGGTAGGGGGGGATTTGTAACACACAGGCCTTATGAGGATAAGCCATCCTAGGGACTGACGTCATATTTGGCGGGTTTTCTGCGTTTGAAATGCTGCTGAATTTATATTTTTTATTAAAAATTAACGGCAATCCAAATGTTTCCCAAAATAGTGTTATAGACTTATGGCCGGTATTATAAAACACTGAACCGACGGTTGAGTTTCAACCTTCGGTTGACTCCATGCAGATTGATAGGATTCAACCGGAGGTTGAAACTCAACGATCGGTTTAGTGTTTTATAAAATACCGGCCCTTATAGTTTGTGTTCTAGAATTAGAATATAAAAAAAAACACACTATTACAGAAACGTGGTGTGTGCTGTCTTGCGTCGCATATATCTCAATTGAGTACGTTCACCATCACCAGTACTCAGCAGCTAACTTGCAGCGAAGCAGTTGAGGAAAGTAAAGAATAAATATAGATACAGCGGTCAACTACAGCGATCTACTAAACCAACAACCAACACTGGAATAGTTCATTGACTGGAACCAATGAACTATAGTCAAAAACTGGAATGCGCACACATTGCCATATCTGCCAAAAAAATGTAGCCATGAAAGACAGATGCCACAAGGGGGAATGTTGTTTTTTTTCTGTTGCTCGCTGTCATATGACGTTTTCGAAAATTTTGTCATATTTCCCTTCACAGGTTTCATCGATTGGAATACGTGTTGGAAGCAATTTTCGCCATTTAACATAATGAGTGCGACAAAAACAGGTATCCCCTCCGCAGCAGCTGCACTAGGCTTCACGTTCGTCCTTATGTGTTAACATTCCAGTTTTTGGTTATAGTTCATTGACTGGAACACTGAGCAGGAGATTATGTTTTGATTTTTCTTGCCTCTTGCGTCTTGCCTGTCTGTCATCTGTCAATTTTGTGACTAATTTTGCACCCTAATTTAGAATTTCATCTAATTCTAGGCGAAATGGGTAAAATAATGAAACCTGGAAAAGTCGTGCTGGTTCTGGGAGGTCGATACGCCGGAAGAAAGGCAATCGTGGTGAAAAATTTCGACGAAGGGACCGTAGAGAGGCCTTATGGACATGCTTTGGTTGCTGGCATCGACAGGTACCCACGTAAAATTCACAAAAGAATGGGTAAAGGAAAAATGTACAAGAAGAGCAAGATCAAGCCTTTTATCAAGGTAAGATATACGCCATCGTTTTTTTTTTTTTTTTTTTCAATAATAGCCAAAACCGGGCTTATGCAACATTGGCGTAATCGCATAATCATAGACGTGTCCTTAATGCTTCTGTTGCAATAACTACTAATTAAAGGACCCCGCAATATTTAAATGGAAATTGGTTACCCGTCATATTTGGATGAAATTAAAATATGTCATTGGGGATGCCGTAAGCAACATTTTTTACCATGGGCACAACCCTGGGGCGAGTTCAGAAATAACACACCGGGTGTGAGTGCGATTTTATGGGTGTGACTGATATGACTGAAATGACAATTCTTAGGCGACAACTTTCGTATGAATTTCTGAACGCTTGGTGTGACCAATCGAGCATTTCCTCAAAAATTTCACAAAATCTATTAGGATTACTTTTTTTTGTTGTTCATTTTTTTAATTTGAAGGAAAAACTCTAATTCTTATTTGTGTTTTGTTTATATTTGGTGGGATTATTGAGATTATGGGAGAAATCGTTGACATTGTTGACATAAGGACACAATCACACCAAAAAATTATGGTGTGACCGGTGCGACACTTGGAGCACGCCCAAAGTACTTTCTGAACGGCACAAAGTGCGCGCACTCGGTGTGCCTATAGCATTTATGAACGGCTAGTGCGTCGCACCGGTGTCACACTCACACTGAGTGTGTCATTCCTGAACTCGCCCCTGTATATATGACAGGTGAGGCGTGGTTAGCAGTCAAATATTGGAATCATCCAAAAGAAGAGTGACTATGGCAGATTTTGATGATCGAAGTATCGATGTCTACTAAGCTGGAATGATTATTAATTGGGTATAACCAATGCATTTCCGCCGTCGCGGTTTTAACCAAAGTAGGGGAAGTTGGGACGTCACATATCAGCTGATTTGCTTTTGGTATTTACCACTCATAACCGATTATAACCCAACTTTGGACTTGGGTTAATCTTTTGGTTACAGCTTTTTGATGTTATTGTTATTATTTTTGGAATTTGTATTGGTGTTTTGTGATTTTGCAGTTGCGCTGTAGCCTGGCACAATGAAAGAACTATACATTCCAGTGTTGCCAATAAGCGTGTAATTACACGATTTGCGTGTATTTTGATTGGCTTGCGTGTATTTGTCGAACATAAACAAAAAGCGTGTAATTTGAAAAATTTGACTTTCTCTTTTTTTGTTCTGTTTCACGGCTTTCCAGTCTAAAGCCCGGGCCCCATTGTGACATGAATAGGACGTTTTCTCTTCCCTTGCATTCCATTCTATCATCTTTTGTCTGTCATGTGACTACCCTTATGCCCAAGGATAATACATACATTACTTATCGCCTATCGGCCTCGTTTTTGGTAATCGCGGTTATATGGTATAGCACCATTGTCGACGTCATTAACTAAGTCGTCAGCTGTTTGCTACCATTATGGCCAAAGACAATACACCCTTGGTGACACTTGCTTATCGAACTCGATTAGTGGAATCAAGTTTATATGGTGTTGCACCGTTGCCGACATCAACGACAACAGCAACGTTAACAGTTTGCATCAGCGGTCATAGTTAAGAATATACATTGATGATGATGAAAAAAATTATTTAACTGCGGTGCAAACACTCTACGTCAAGACGAGAAGCGACAGGCTACGTCATCACTGGTGCTTTGGTATGGTGGGTGCGCTTGAGATTTAAACTACACAGGCCTTATGACGATAGGCTCGGCTGTAGTGTCAGGAGCATTTACTCTCAGATTTGACTGGATTTAACCCATATCCCAAAATCATAAATCACAAAAAAAAAAAATATGATACTTGTTTCTTGGTGTTACGAAATAGGTACCAAGTTCGTGTAAAAATCGTGTAATTGTGAGACTGAAAGCGTGTAAAAACGTGTAATTTGACCAGCATATCGTGTAATTTCACAAATTCAGATTGGCAACTGATGTTACTTCGGGCTAACCAATGATGATTGACCATATTCTTTTTAAATAAAACAACTTTTCGTCTAGAAAAACAGATTTTTTTTAATGAGCGAAAAAACATGACCTAACCAAAACCCTTCGTCCGCTCAAGAGGCCCGGCTTTCGTTCTCTTTCTTGCATGTTCACTTCATGCCGTGTTGCCAGTTATTTTTATCGCAATAGCGATTTCAATTTATCGTGCTCGAACAGCAACACTGATACATTCACTCACTCACTGCAATTCACCATGTTTAGATCGAGGTTTAGATCATCCCCAAAGAAAATCTGTTCGATAAACGAGACTAACGAGAGATTCAGCTCCATTTTTTGTACCTGAACAAAAAACTATTGTTGAAACGAAAAAACAAATAAGAATAATAAACATAATCCTACACTGCTATAACCAAATCATTTCAGCGGTCAGTTCCTTGGGTTATGATTCTTGAATGGTGGGGGGCTATGACGTCACACTTGGCTGTCAAAGTAGTCAACCAAAAGAATAACCACGGTATTTACCGATAAATAATCATTCCAGGCTGAAAATCGCCTTAAGTCGACCAAGTCAAGTCGAAAAATGTCAACCACTTTGACACATGTCAAAACCCTGCCAAACGGCAGCACTCATCTTTTCCCGTTTTCAATATTTCATGATGTCATTTGACCTTTTTAACTTGTTCTGAATTCAAAAATTGAAAAAAAAATGACAGAACTGTCAAAACCTGTCATTTGTTTTAGTAGAAAAAAATACTCTTATCTGGTTCTTTTTTGTTTCAAGGTAGTTTAGCGGTGATAAAACATTAAACAAAGTTCATGCATGTCACATTTTGACAACTGTCAGAATCTGTTAATAGATTTTTGGTTTATATTGAGCTTGTTTGCTTAGTGAAGGTTTAGTTCAAACTCAATATGAACCAAAAAGCAAAAACAGATTCTGACATCTGTCAAAATGTGACATGCATGAACTTTGTTTGATGTTTTATCACCAATAAACTACCTTGAAATAAAAAAGAATCAGATTAGAGTATTTTTTCCTACTAAAACAAATGACAGGTTTTGACAGTTCTGTCATTTTTTTTTTCAATTTTTGAATTCAGAACAAGTTAAAAAGGTCAAATGACATCATGAAATATTGAAAACGGGAAAAGATGAGTGCCGCCGTTTGACAGGGTTTTGGCAGGTGTTAAAATGGTTGACATTTTTCGACTTAACTTGGTCGACTTAGTAGAAATAGATTTTTTGTTCATCAAAATTTGCCATAGTTACTCTGCTTTTGGATATAGGATTCCAATATTTGACAGCTAACCACGTCTCACCTGTCATATATACAGGGTTGTGCTCATGGTAAAAAATGTTGCTTACGGCATCCCCAATAACATATTTAAATTTCATCCAAATATCACGGGTAACCTCCATTTAAATATTGCGGGGTTCTTCAGAATTTTAGCTACCGCGTATTTACGGCATAAGTGGAAATACAGCGTATTAGCGCATTAAGCGGAAGTACCTACCGCGAGCGTTAAATTATATAACGCGTTTACTCCATTTACGCAATGAGAGGCGTTTGATGCAAAAATGAGTGAGATGGAAATATCATTTCTGCGTAAGTCTATCTTGTAGTTCAGTCCGTCAAATCTACGCATGCCTATAATTACACAGCACTCATTGGTCTTCGAGCATCGTCCGTCCACTACGAAAACGAGATTATCGATCGTCTGAAAACCATGCTTACAACCCACCAATCACCTCAACTGCATTCAACGCATGCGCACTAGACCAAACCAGGCTGAGCGATAGACTTATGCGAAGTTGATATACCTGTCGCACACATTTTTGCATCCAGGGTACAGCAAGAACACGCGTTATATAATTTTTTACTTATATGACCGCGAGAATCAATGAAACTTTTCGTTCTGTAAGGCCCGTCGCACACGGAGTTACTGGTATGAAACTGAAATTGAATTAAATAATCACTTGACAGTCTTTTGTAAGTCCACGGCACGTGTATTTAAATCGAATGTCGTACACGGCGCTACTAGTCGCCGACCCGTACGCTACTGGTTAGTGATAAATCGCCAAGAGACTCGAACTGACGGTCGCGCGAGAATTTGTTGGAGATTTTTTACGAAATTTGTGTAGCAAAATGACGAAAAACGAAATGAATGACAAGTTTGCATATACTACACTGAACAAACGCGTTTATTTTCGATCCTCGTCCCGTCTCTTCGTGTACGAGAATTGAGTATCCAACTAGTTTTTAACTGACGTGTCTACTCAGTTTCGTCTTTTATAGAGCTCCATGTGCGATGTGCGACGGGTTTTATTTGTTGCAGCAACTTGTTTCTTCCTCGTCCGTACCACGGATGAGTGTCGCTGCGCAAGCGCAACGTCCAATCAAGAATTTTCTCCTATAGGTAGTCGGTATAGAGAACTGCTAGGTAATGTTAATTGTTAAATGTTAAATGCAACTTCATTGGTTAAATGATTTAGTTTTTTCATTTATGAGTAAAAATCTACAGTCCACTCGATCACTCACTGTAGTAGGATGTAGTCAAAATCAAAGTTACAGTCATGTATTCAATGTTTAATCACATAAATCTAGTTAAAAGTTATTTTTTTTTTAATAACCGGCAGCCTTATTCTGTAACTTGCGACCGCAGAGAATTGCGCAATTGTCGCTGTCAAGTCGCTGTCAAACGCGAGTTTTCTATTCAAAAATAGCAACTTGCGACCGGCAGTTACATAGCAACCAGCAACCGGTCGCAAGTTGCTTTTCTTGAATAGAAAACTCATGTTTGACAGTGACTTGACAGCGACAATTGCGCAATTCTCTGCGGTCGCAAGTTACAGAATAATGCCTCACTTGCGCGAAATCCGCTCTTTTGCGCGAAATTCGCTCTTTTTTTGACAATGCTTCGATAATTTGATGTTTTATGCGTGAATCAAACGTCAAATTGTCGAAGCAATCTCAAAAAAGTGCGAATTTCGCGTGAGTGAGAATGGCAGCAAATATCCAGTTAAGTTCCCAAAAATTTTGTAGAG